TGTCCTGCCAGGTGCAGTAGCTCACGTCTGTAATCCCAGCACTTTGGGAGGCCAAGGTAGTTGGATCATGAGGTCAAGGGAAAGAGACCATCCTGGCCAACATGGTGAAACCCCATTTCTACTAAAAATACAAAAAATTAGCTGGATGTGGTGGCACGCACCTGTAATCCCAGCTGTTTGGAAGGCTGAGGCAGGAGAATTGCTTGAACCTGGGAGGTGGAGGTTGCAGTGAGCCAAGATTGTGCCACTGCACTCCAGCCTGGTGACAGAGCGAGACTCTGTCTCAAAATAATGATAATATAATAATAATAATGTGTCCTTTTGCTCCTCAAACCTTTGATGATCATTTAGTCACCGCCTTCATTCTGTAAGATCTGGCTTTCTAAGATATGCCTTTGTCACATCCTAGTAGCTCCAGTAATTAATACCTGGAGAAATTTGCCTTTCTCAAAATGATGAATGTAGATAAAACATGCAGAAATGACTTAATTATAATTTAAAGAAAGCTACAAGGAGCAAAGACCATAAAATAGATTTACTAGGTCCCGTGCTATTTAACAGCCCTTTTAACAGCCCCTTAAATAATATTTATTAGTCAACTGAAACCATATAGCATTTATTGAGGGCAAGTCTGGCAAGGTATTGTTTAATTTTAGATATTGAGGGAGCCGTGAAGACATATAAGATGTAACCCCTGCCCTCATAGAAGTTCTAGCACATTGGTCGTGGTGACAGTGTTTGCATGTGGAGGGAAAGTGTTCAGTCAGCACACAGCATATGCAAGGACAATGTGAACATAAGGGCCCATACTACGGAAGCTCCACAGCAGGAAGGGTCACGTTGAATTGATTGCAGTGATGAGGGAAGGACTATGTGCATTAAGATAGTGTAACTGCTACTATAAAACTACCCCAAAGATGTATAATTACTCAAACACACAAAATGGTGTTTTAAATGCCCTAAGGTTAAAAACAGGTGTTCCTGATTCATAGTTGACTCTGTTCCAAATGGTGATTCAGAGATACAGGTCCTCCTCTCTCATGGGTCAGCCATCTTCAACATATGGCTTTTAAGATTGCTGGGCTTGTCCACATCAAGCTGGCAGAAGGAGAAAGAACATGGAAAATGAAAAGATATAGCCAGATCTGAAAGGGGAGTTCCATTGGCTAGAACTTGAGTTTCATTGGCTAGAACTCAGTCACACAGCCACAGCTAAATTCAAGAGAGATTGAGAACTACAGTCCAGCTGGGTGTCTGAGAAGATGAAATGGATTGTTGACCACCTAGCAGTCTTTGCCACAGGCTTTGTTATGGTTTGGATGTTTTTGGCCCTTTCAATATTCATGTTGGAGCTTAATTCCCTCCAAAATTCAGGTGTTGCCAATGCAGTGGTATTCAGAGAGAGGCCTTTAAGGGTTGATCAGGTCATGAAGGCTCCTTCCTTATTCATGGGATTAAGACCCTTATAAAAGAGCCTTCACACAGCATTTGGCTAGCTTTTTCCTGGTGCCTTTGCCATGTGCAGCAAGAAGGCCTTCATCACACCAGATGCTGGTGCCTTGATCTTGGACTTGCCAACCTCTAGAACTATGGGAAATAAATTTCTATTCTTTATAAATTACCTAGTATCATCTATCCCATTATAAGAGCACAAAATGGAATAACAGGCTTTATGCTGGCAAAGCACGTAAGGTAGGTTTTCAGGCAATTTGAAGTATTCTGACAGAGGTTGAAAAACAGTATTAATCCAGGAAAAATGAATAGCATAAAAAAGGACTGGGGAGTATACAACAACAAAATGTAAGGGCATATTTGGAAAATAGGAAATCATTCATCTTGTTAGCAGCATAAAACACATATGGAGTAGTGTATGAGGAACTGTCGGAAAGCTAGGTTGAGACAATTTCCAACCTAAGTCACATTTTAGGAGGTTTTAAAATTCAGACTGAACAGTTATATCCAGCATAATTTTCAAGCTCATTCTCACTTGCAGGAAAATAGTGGCCCAGGTTACTTTTCTTTTTTTCCCTTCCTACTCTGGCCTTTCCTAGGAAGTGAGTTCTCATGTTTATCTCCCCCACACAATGGCAGGCAGTTAGGGAGAAGGGTTCAACCCCTCAGCATGGGCAGATTCATTTTCAGCTTTTGCACTAGAGGATTTCAGAGATTCCAGGGGCCTCCTGCCAAAAACCCGTCTAACGCGTGGTATCTGCTGAATGCTGTCTTTGGGATGAATCCCAAGTTCTGGAGAGGGAGGAGGGAGGGAAATTCCTTTTCGACCCTAGGACACAATTAACTCATACCCAGGATCCTGGAATTTGATTACCCATATTGTTATCCTGGCTTGCATAGCAGCAAATGTGGCTCACAGTTATAAAATATCCGGTTCTTTAAAATCTGGCTGCAGCCTTCAGCTTGATGACCTCCTGACAGTGATTAATTGGAAAGGGTGGGAGCTGGGGAAATCCTTTCCCCTCCCTCAGACCTGCCAACTTGGCTTTGAACCCACAAGAATGTTTTGGTCAGAAAATATACATCCCCACACCCTGTACCCTCACTCTCACCCTCACCTCTGCCCCATGTTGCACGTTTTATTTGCTATCCATATGCATTCATCCTTGTTGAATTAACTTTGACCCAGGCTTGACTATGTGTTGCCCCTGGAAGGATTCTGTGTGACTTATTCTCTCTTCCTTGAGCTTCTGACCATAAAATTAATCTTATTCTTACCTTCCATAGTCTTCTGACCATAAAAATAATGCTATTATAAAGGTAAACGAATCATTTACCTTTACTGTACAGGTTGGAGTTGGTTTCTTTCATTGTTCCTGCCAGGATGTAAGCATAATTCTATATCTTTCTTAAACTGTTGAAAAAGAAAGAAGACAGAATATTTGAAATAGCAGCTGACTACCCAAAAACTGCTTTTCAATGCAAACTGGAAGAGGCAGCACACAATTTTTCATTCCTGAACACATTCATTGTATTTAGGGTTTGTGAAAAGGGAGGTCTTCACCTTTCCATGGCAAGAGTTTATAGATGTTTTTTCTTTAGCTGGACACAAAACCAGCCTAAAGGAATCATTACTACATGGTGTATTTCATCCTGTGTTTGTCTTTCTTCCTCTTATTTCTCAAGACCCTCAGTGATCCCACTCTATGGTCACCCTCTGCACTCACAGCCTTCAAATAACTAAATCTTGCTGTTGGTAGGCATTTGGTATTTTTCTCTTTCAGTTGCTAGCATATGAAGAAGATGAAACGCTTCAGGGCAATCTCTGTTGCACCAGTTCATTCCCTAGCATGCTTTGAGATCTACATCCCTCATGAAGCGCTAAGACATTTGGAAAGACAGCATAGTGTAATGGAATGAAACATGAGAAATTAAGCAGATCTGGGTCCCAGTTCTAGCACTTCCCCTTACTTCTGTGAGACTTTGAACAAAAACTTGACTTCTCTGAGCCTCTGAGCCAGAAACTTGACAGCATTGATAAGTTTTGGCTGTTTTTGAATTTTATCTACGTGGAACAACACAGTATATATACCTTTGTTATTGACTTCTTTTACTCAATACATCTGCTCTTTGACTTAAGATGGGATTGCATCCTGATAAACCCATCTTAAGTAAAAAATATTGTTAAGTCAAAAATGCATTTAATGCCAGCAACACAGCAGACAGTCTCTGATGTATGATGGTTCAACTTATGAATTTTTGGCTTTATGGTGGTACAAAAGCAATAGGTATTCAGTAGGAACCATAACCCCACCATAAATCATAGGAGCTCAACTTACAATGGGGTTGTATCTGGATAAACCCATCATAAAGGGGAAAAATTGTAAGTCAAACCATCATAAGCCAGATCCCATCTGGCTTATATTTGTGAGATTCATTCAAATTGTTGCATGCAGCCATGGTTTGCACAATAGGATTTATGGTATTATATTATATATCACAAATTATTTGTCCATTCTACTTTGATGGACATTTGGATTGTCAGTTATTACAAATTGCGATTCTATGATCATTCTTGTAAAATCTCACATATACACCCTGTTGAGCAACATTGTACACTGGGTTCCTCCGGAAGCAGCTCTGAGAGATATTTGCTTTTAGGAAGTTTATTCCTTTCTGCCTTCAAGACCAAAGTTGCATTCAAGATCAAAACTTACGGGGGAGTGAGGAAGGAGGATTGAACACAGAGAAGTTGGACTAAAATGCAATCACAACAAAGGACTCAGCCAACCTGTGGGGAGCTCTGGAGCTGAAATGTTCCTCTAGAGTTGTGCTAAATTGGGGCAAGGAGGCCAGATCTTTATACCAGTCATTGTATGTGGATTAGCTCAGGGATGGGAACATGACTTGGGGTAAGACATCTCTCTTTGGCAGAGAATAGAGGCCACATCTGTGAGTTGTCAGCAATCAGCATTCCTAGTAGCTGGTAGAATGCATATTTTAATCCTAAAATGTCTAAAGTGTGTGTGTGTGTGGTGTGCATGCGTGTGTGTATGGGGGGGTGGGGGGTGAGTATGGTCAGGGTGAATCTGAGCAGTGCATCATAGTATCTCTTACATGCCATTAGTAATTTCTAGAAGTTGAATTTCTGGTTCATAGGATATGGGTAAGTTCATCTTTAGTAGATACCGTTAAACAATATTCCAAAGTATTTGTATCCAAATACCCTCTTAATTTAAATTCTGATATCCCCACATGGACTCTTTCCAAAAAGATAAAGAAAAATGTACTGGAGTGAAACAAATGTAAAAAACATTTCATATATTAACTTAATATTTTCTATATGATGGAAAAGCAAAATTGAGAACCATTGAAATGGGTTATTTATTATTTTCTAACTTACGGCTTGATATCCTGAAATCTGTCAACACTACCTGAGTTTTTCTGAAATCTAGCTGTGGAATTAGTAAATCCTAAAGGCTTCCTGCTGTGCTGAGAAAAAAAAGAAAGGGAAATATAAATTGACTTTTCCAAATTTCATTTTTCAGAGTGGCCAAATCAATGAAGGTTCCTGTATATGAGACCCCAGCTGGATGGAGATTCTTCTCAAATCTGATGGACTCAGGACGGTGCAATCTGTGTGGGGAAGAGAGCTTTGGCACTGGTAGGCTTTGTTGGGTTGATATTACTGGGGAGGGTGGCGGCAGCCTTTTGTGATCTCAGTTTGGAGACCTGTGAACTTTCTGTGAATTACAGAGAAACAGTTAAGTAGAGCCAAAAAATCAGAAAAACCTAGTAGAGTATGTGCTATAATATGCTTACCTCTTTTATCCATTTTGTTTCTTCTTTTTAAAAATTTCTCTTTCTTTAAAAATCATTTCTGTTATGGAAATCTTTAAAATGTATAAGAGTAGAGAGAATATCATATTGAATCCCCATGTTCCTGTCACTCCTGTTTCAACCGCCATAAACTTGTAGTCAATCTTCCTTCATCTCTACCCTCATTCGCAGGGGAACCCTCCTCCCTGATTATTGTGAAGCAATCCTCTGTAACTTATTGTTTTACCCATAAGTATTTCAAGATGAATCTTTAAATATAAGGGCTCTTGTTCAGAAAAACCACATAACCACACTACTATTATCACACCTAAAAAGTTAAAAACATTTTCTTTTTTCAAAGACTTTAAATACATCATCCAATTGTTTTCTGGCTTACATCGTTTCCAAGAAGTCAGATTTAAATTTTATGTTTATTCCTCTGTTTGTAAAGTACCCCCCCATCTCCTGCCTTTGACTGACTTCAACATTTTTTGAATCTTTGATTTTCAAAAGTTGAATTATATTAACAATATGTCTAAGCGTGTATGCGTGTATGTGTTTAACCCTACTTGGGGTTCTCTTGAATTCTTGGATCTGTCATTTGTTGTTGTTCATTAATTTTAGGAATTGCTCAGCTATTATTTTTTCAAATATTTCTCCTTCCCCATAATGTGTCTCTTGTCCTTCTGAGGCTCCCATCACACGTGTCAGATAATTTGTGATGATAAATGAGCTCCTACATTCATTGCTCTCATTTATTTCACCCTTCTTTTCCTCTTGTGTTTCAGTTTAGATCGTCTCTGTTGGAATATCTTTAAGTTCACTGATTCTTTCCTTAGCTGTGTCCAATCTGCTGATGGGCCTGTTGAAGGAATTCTTCATATCTGATATTTTTTTTGTTTGTTTTTTTGTTTTGGCATTTCTCTTTGACTCTTTTAAAATAGCTTTCAGCTCTCTGAAATTCCCCATCTGTTTGTATAATTATCTTTTCCATTAGATAATTTAACATATTAGACATGTTTATTTTAAATACCCTGTCTGATAGTTCCAATCTCTGATTCATCTCTGACTTTGGTTCAGCTGATTGCTTTATCTCTTGACAATGGTTTGGTTTTTCTTGCTTTTGTAGATCTCATAAATTTTTATTGAATGCTGAACAATATGTGGATTAGAACAGTAGACATTCAGGTAAATTGTATTTATGCTTAGAAATAGCTACAGCTCTTTTATGGGGCAATTAGTGTAGAAGGTTAAGTTAATCTGGTCAAGTGGTGAACTGGGTTTGGGTTTTACTGTTTCTGTTTTAACTTTCTGTGTACCACAGGCTTCAAATTCCCCCAGCAGTGGCATATTTTTACTAGGTACTGAAACTGGGGAAGAAGGGTACTGGAGAGTTTTTAAGTGTTCCTGTTTCACCCTCAGTTTCCAGTAGCGACTGCAAATCTGTGACACAAAATAGAGTTCTATCTCCAGGCTCTTAAACCTTCCCTGGAAGCAGTGACCTCTGACTAGTATTGGTGTAGAATTCTGAGCACAAGTTTTCCTACCCTCTCTCCAGAGACAGGAGGGTTTCTACTATTGTCTGTCTCTCAGAGACAATAGATCGTTTTCTGGACCTGGGGATGAGAAGGGTGCAGGCTGCTGCACCTGGGAGCGTGTTTCATGAGAGAAGGGTTTGGGAAGCAGAAGGGCTTCATGCTTGTTTCCCAGCGGCAGCTGATCATCTCCTCCATTCCTGCGCCACCAAGTTTCCCTCCTTGTTCCTAATTTCTTGTGGGGACCCGGGGACGTCTGTGGGAAAGAACTTGAAAATGTGCCCCTTGTACCTGTGACCCCAAGTGATTTTACAGTAACGTGATAGCCTATACTAGGCCTTTAAGAATGTTTTAAAACTCTTACATGATTTCTTATTATCTGTTTTTTATGGCAGCTCCTCCTTCTCCTGTGCTTTACCAAAGCTGAGAGAGTTTTCAGGTCCTGTCTCTCCTTGGAGTGGCTTCTCTTTGGAATTCACTTTACTGTCTTGTCATCTCAGATCTCTGAGTTCAAGAAAACGTACCATGTTTGAGATTTCCTGGCCTTTCATCATTGCCAGGATGGGAATGGCTTTCTCTTGCTGATTTCCATATCCTAAAGAAAAGCACACAAATGAAACTCCAAAAGTGATTTCTTAATAATTTCCTCTATCCTAATTTCCCCCCCATTAACAGTTTGTTGTAATTGTATCTAAAAAATCTTACATTGCAATTAGCTGATATGTCTCTTAAGTTTCTCTTAATCTACACTTCTCCCCTTTATATTTTACCCTTATTATTTATTAATTGAAGAAACTGGGTCATATTTCCTATAGAGCCTTAAAATTGCTTTGATTTTGATGCTGCTGTCCTCATTTTCCTTTCTAATTTGCTTAATGTTTATAGGAAGAGAAGCTATTGATTAATATGCTTTTTCTCTGGTTTACAACTCCCTTAGCTGCAATTATAGTAATTATTAATATATCATATTAATTATAGTGAATTTTTTCCAAAACTCTATATTGTCTTGAGGTTTTTAAATATACAGTCATATAATCTATGAATAAAATATTTTTTGTGTTTTTTTAATAATATCTACAACCTCCCTTCCCCTTCCCTTCCCCTTTCCCTTCCCTTCCCTTCCTTCTTTTCTTTCTCCCTCCCTCCCTCCCTTTTTCTTTTCTTTTCTTTGGTTCAGGGGTACATGTGAATGTTTGTTACAAAAATTCATGTCACAGGAGTTTGCTTTACAGATTATTTCATCACCCAGGAATTAATTAATTAATTAATTAACAACCCAATAGTTATCTTTTCCGCTCCTCTCCCTCCTCCCACCCTCCACCCTCAAGTAGATCCCAGTGTCTGTTGTTTCCTTCTTTGTGTTCATAAGTTCTCCTCATTTAGTTCCCACTTATAAGTGAGAACATGTGTGCACTCTTTATTTTGTGTCCTTATTTCACTAGCTATCATCTTCAAAATAATATTAAATAAAAAGTTAATAATTTTAGTGGAAATGGATTTAGCATTAATATTTTACCATTTGTTTTGATGATTGCTTTTCAATATTGGTAAAATCTTTATCATGCTTATATAGATTATTGTTCCCATTCCTATTTTACTTAGAGTCTTATTTGAAATGACTGCTGGGGCCGGGCATGGTGGCTCACGCCTGTAATCCCAGCACTTTGGGTGGCCAAGAAGGGAGGATCACAAGGTCAGGAAATCAAGATCATCCTGACTAACACGGTGAAACCCCATCTCTACTAAAAATACAAAAAATTAGCTGGGCATGGTGGCACAGGCCTGTAGTCTCAGCTACTTGGGAGGCTGAGGCAGGAGAATTGCTTGAACCCAGAAGGCAGAGGTTGCAGTGAGCCAAGATCGTGCCACTGCACTCCAGCCTTGGTGACAGAGTGAGACTCTGTCTCAAAAAAAAAAAAAAAAAAAAAAAAAAAAAAAAAAGAAATGACTGCTGGATTTATCAGGTACCTTGTCAGAATCTAGTGATATATTAATATATTTTTTTTCCTTTTTGGTTTGGGAATATAATGAAATATCGTAATCGATTTCCTGGTACTAAGTCATACTTGATTTCTGGGAATAAGTCCTATGGATCATACTTAAACAGATTATAGCAAATTCTACTCTAAATGATCATGAGTATTTCAGGTCATGTTGGGGTTCATGAATGAATTTTTCCTGGGATATTTTCTCTCCTTACACGACTCAGTTGGACCCTACCAACACTACAATTAATAGTACAAGGGGGGGCCGGGCGCGGTGGCTCACGCCTGTAATCCCAGCACTTTGGGAGGCCGAGGCGGGTGGATCACGAGGTCAAGAGATCGAGACCATCCTGGTCAACATGGTGAAACCCCATCGCTGCTAAAACTACAAAAAATCAGCTGGGCATGGTGGTGCGTGCCTGTAATCCCAGCTACTCAGGAGGCTGAGGCAGGAGAATTGCCTGAACCCAGGAGGCGGAGATTGCGGTGAGCCGAGATTGCGCCATTGCACTCCAGCCTGGGTAACAAGAGCGAAACTCCGTCTCAAAAAAAAAAA